GCTGCTGAAGTGAGCTGGTGTATTCAGGGAAAGTCCGGGCAGTAAACACTCTCCTGGCCTCTGTGTTCGCTCTCTTCCGAACGCAGCTGTCTCAGCTGCTGCCTCCTGACACCTTCCTTCCACTATCCATCTCCACTTTACCAAGAGTTCCTCCCCAATGCATCACCGTTCAGCCCCAGATGTTTAATGTGTGAGTGTAGAGGTCATATTTCCTTTGTGGCACTTTGCAAGGATGTTCTGTGCCTGCCAGATAGAGAACCTAAACAGATCCTCTTCTCCTCCACATCTACCTTCCTCTCTACTCTCTGGTTCTCAGGAATCCCTCTCGTGTTCATCGTGGCATGGATCATTTGTAGGATATACATGGAGGACAAGGGGTGAGTCTGCAAGTGTTTAAACATTGTTTTCACAAACTGTGTCAAGGTCAGTGCAAAAATCAAACGTTACAAACTTGCAGGGGACACATTATGCTTATCCTTAATTTCCACCACATGCATGGAGTTGCATTGGTTGAAGCTTATATCAAAATAATGCATCTTTGATTTCATTTAACCATCTCTAGGTCAGGAAATGTTATAAATCTCACTGACTTATTTACTCACTTCCAGGTGTTGGGAGATGAACAACACCCCCATACCAAACAGAGTGATCAACTGGCCCATCATGGCATCTATCATTGTGAGTTTTGTCCCAGGATAACCTTGTATACATCAGACAGAGAGTTTTTTCATGAATTAAAAAAGCAACTTCTTAAATGTTTTTCGGCATCCTGGACACAATTATTATTAGTTATAAATAGTATAAAGAATTGACCTGAGTAAAAGTGAGAGGATCTGTGGTCAGGATGATTGTAAACACAGTCCATTATGCCCCACCAGTGGGTATAACACAGTCTAAATTAATAGGTCAAGTCTGTGTTTCGTCTGTTTTTTGTTGTTGTTGCTTTTAGTCATTAATCTGAAATCCATTTTCATTTTCACCTGCTTTGTCCTTGTTCTCATTTTCTCATTTTATTTTGCTTTCTTCTACTAAAATATAAAACATTGGATCATTATTTTTATTTTACAAATAAATATTCACCATATTAAAAATGATGCATTATTACAGAGCCTGCACAGCCACACATTGGTTTTTAGAGTCACACACTTACTGGACACATCGTTTAAGTGCTCCTGTTCAACTGATGCTAAATGGAAACATGCCATGCAACATTCAGATAGCAGGATTCGGCATTAACGACATGAAAACATGGATCCTGCTTTTTATCAAAGGTTCAGGCTGTTGCTGGTGGTGTAATGATGTCAAGAATGTTAGCTTCACTCACTCGGTACAAACTCAGCATCATTTAAAAACTACAAAAGTATTACTGCTGATCTGTTTTTGGTCAGCAGCAATACTCAGTACTTTTCTATAAGGGAAGATGTTATATACAAATAACGAATGACTATAGCATTCACATCTTTATAAACCATACCAGAGTCAATCTGCACAATGAGTCCTTTTAATTTTGAAGCTTTAAGACACAAAGATGGTTATACTTTAACTCTTGGACTGAACCAGAGCACTTTGTACTGTAGTTTTTATTTTGGTAATGGAGTTTGCTAAAGTACTCACAGATAATGTTTCTTTTTAACATACTGTTTATTGTTGGGTTTCCAGGAGAAAAGTTTAAGCATCAAAACTAGTTGGTGAGGTTTAGCAAAAGATCACAGATTGGGATAAAATATTATGATTATGTCAAAAGTGTCACAGCCAGAGTGATCTAAAACAAACAAGCGGTGCAGGCATAAATCATCCTTCCCATTGAAATCCGTTAGTTTCAGAGTTGCAAAGCTACTCCAGCAACATTCATTTCCATACGCAGCATACTAAAAAATTACAGTATGACATATTTTATCACTATTTTTGGATTTTCTGTGAGACTTGGCCTCAGATGGTGGATCTCTTTATTTACACTGGAAATCCCAGACACAATTATATCCTCTGATACAGACATTCATAAAAAAAAAGGCTGCTCAGTCATTGAGAAAACATCTGCAAACAGATAAGTTTTAGATAAAATTCAATCAGTCAGCAGTCGACTTCAAAACATGCGAACCAGCAGATAATCCATCAGAGCAAGCTGTCATGCTGAACTTTTCTATTTTTACTATTTTTACTTGTTGCAACAGTGAAGTTCTGCTTGATCCGTTGTGAGCGAACTGCTTACTGCTTGTGTTTGCGAAGCTCTATTTAACTGACGTTGTACGATTCGATTGTTGAGCATTTTGCAATAATGTGTGCTCTAATGTGTGCTTTGTGCCATCAAGTTTCCATTTATATTTGGTTATAACTACGATTTATCAATGCCCTTTAAATATATGAAATGCAGGCAGTTGTAAAGTTATTGTTCTGAAAACGCAGTCATCTGTAAGGACATGCTCTCTGAATGTGTGTTTGTCTATGTTGGTTTAAAACATGACTGGGCAGGTTTGGAGCGTAGCTTTCTCGTGAACTGCTTGTTCAAACAGTACGAATGAGTGATGGAAGTCACTTAACACAGAAAACCAGAGAAAATACACTTAAAATTAGGGGAATGCAAATACAAAAAATACACCTCTGAGTGATGTTCTGTAAAAATATTTGCAACATGTCAAAAGCTTATTTGAGGATTCAGATTTGGTTATATGGTCGTAGTTAGAGTTAAGGTGTTTTTATAATGCAGCATTATTTGAACATGCCTCCCTTCCTGGCCTTTGGTCCCACTGTGGCTAATGATCCAGCTAAGCACAGCTTTCATTTCGGCAACTCTCAGTTTTTGTATCCTGGTTGGCTGGTTTCTTATTCTTGAAAAAGTATTTTAAGTATTTATAAAAGTATTTAGTTTATGACACGGAAATCATCATATATGTCACATAAACACATGTATGTGGGTGTGAGCCCCTCCACTTACACTCATAGTGAAGAAGGCAGCTGATTTTATCAACATATGAGAACTGCTCTTCAAAATGAATTAAAACCCAGCTAAGGCCTTTGTGTGTAGAGTTTAGATGTTCTTCCTGTGCCCGTGTTTGGTGCTGGGCTTCCTCTCATAGTTCAAAGACATCAAAGGTTAAAGTGCTGATGCTAAAATGGCCATGGATGTGAGATACATAAAGTCCTTAAAGTTTGCACTCTAAAGAGCTTTGAGTGGTTAGTAAAGCACTCTGTAAATGCAGGTACATCACATTTCACTTACCCAGGTCCCTAGTAATAAACCACCAAGTGTGGAGTGGACTGTATGAAGGGTTGTTGAGCTTTACAGTGGACGAGTATCTCGTCACTCGGCTCTTGTTCACATGTGAGGGGAGCAGAAGACTGACAGATGGACTCGGGCCATGTCTGCAGTGATGTGAACACTATACTGGTCCGTTGTGGTAAAGAGAGAGCGGAGCGTAAAAGCGAAGCTGTCAATATACTGGTCGTTCTACATCCCTGCCTTCAGCTGTGGTGACCTAAAAAGACAGGGTGAGGAATTCAATTATTTAGAGGGACAGATTAGAGCTGCTACTCCTCCACATTCAATGGATGTGGCGTGGGGATATCTAAGATTATGACCTGAGTGAGGAGGCCCTGAAGTAGACCCAGGACATACTGGGGAGATTATGCCTCCCAGTTGGCCTTGGAACGCTTTGGTGTTCCTCAGGATGAGCTGGAGCAGATAGCTGGGTGGAGGAAGGTCTGCGTTTCTTTGCCTAGGCAAACTTATCCAGACAGCCTGGATAAATGTGAGAAGATGGATGGATGGAGTTCGGAAACACAACTGTACAGTTAATTTTTGGACTCTTTGCTCCTTGACAGACAAATTTCATAGAAATTAGTTTCTAACCTTTCTACTCTTAAAGAAGTCATTTTCGCTAACATGCCTCCTCTTTCTTTCTGCCGTGTTTCTCTACAAGATCAATTTCATCCTGTTCATCAGCATCATCCGCATCCTGGTGCAGAAACTGCGCAGCTGTGATGTCGGCGGAAACGATCAATGCCAATACAAGTACGTCAAGGAACTGAGGAGTCATATTTTTACCTCCGAGCTCTCGCTGATTAGATTTATATGCATTTAAGAGGGCTTCCTGATAATGTGGTGATGAAAGCAGCAGTCATATCAAATCTCCTCGACACATTAGACAGGAACCATTATCACATTATCAGCTAACTGTGTTTAAACTTGGACATCTTAGTATCAATCTTCCTGCCTGTTTCTGCTTCTCAATCTGGAAACAAATGATTTTGATTATTCTTTCTTTAGCAAACAAATAATAGCCATTCCTGAAGACTAGAATGAATTTTAAGGTTTTTTCCTCATAGTAACTCAAGTTTTTAATATCCAGAATAAACAATTTTTCTGCACTGTTGAGAAAAAGTGAAAGAAAGAGATTTCCCACTGATGGTCTCGCAGATAAGTTTTAGTCTAAATGTATTGTGTGCATTGAGTGTGTATTATGTGTGTTTATCAGACGCCTGGCTAAGTCCACACTCCTGCTGATCCCTCTGTTTGGGGTGTATTACGTGGTGTTTTTCTACCTGATGGAGCCGGAAAATGAAAACGTGAAGCAAGTGAAGATCTTCTTCGATCTCGGCCTCGGATCATTCCAGGTACTATAAGACATTTAAAAACATAAAATTCCTAAATAAAATGATTTGCCTTTTTTGTTCTGGTAGGAAAAATGACTGTAGTGGAAGATAAAAATGTCATCAAGTTAAGACCCAGCAAAGGAGAGAACCACATCAAGAATTTTGACCCTTACAAGATAGTCATGTATGTTTGGGAGCTGTAGCAAGAAAAATAAATGTTCTTTTTTAGCTCATTGACTGTGTCCTAGTTTAATGTCCGGCTCTGTGTCTGCACACAGTCTCCATTCTTTCCCCACATCCTTGACTCTTCTCCGCGGTCTCCCTCTTTTCCTCCTGCCAGGCAGCTTCTGTCCAACATATCCACCATCTCACCTCAGCCTTGCCTCTCTAACTTTGTCCCCAAACACTCAGCCTGAGCTGTCACTCTGATGTGCTGTCCCAACAAACCAGTCATTTAAAGTTGCCTCCACACTTCTGCCTTCCTTTCTCTCTCACTGCCTCTAAAGGCATCGGCAAAAAGAAAAGAGGAAGACGATGGAGGAGATTGATGAGTGTAGTGAATGAGAACATACAGTGGGTTGGTGTAACAGATGCTTGGGATAGGTGGTGACCCTTAAAGGCAGCATCCTTTAGTATTAATATAGCCTTGTTTCTGACACGTTTGCACTGATCTGTTATGGTGGTATTTGTTTCCTTTTAGGGTCTAATTGTAGCAGTTCTCTACTGTTTCCTCAACAGTGAGGTGAGTCTATGCATGTGTTCTTCGTAACATCATTTACACGATTTTTTAATATATATTATATTTAATATAATTCTACTTTTTTTGCACATAAAGGTTCAGAGTGAGCTGAGGAGGACATGGAAGTGTTTTTCTGTAAAGCGCTGCGTGGGACAGGACTTCAGGCTCCACAGCGTGAACCAAAATGGTACAGAAAGCTCGGCCCAGTGTTCTAGAAACTCCCGAGCCCAGTCCATCCTGCAGACTGAGATCACCGGGCTGTGATCTGCGACACAAACAGCCTGTTTTGTTAAAGACTTTGAGAACGGGCGCTCGTGTTCGGTCAGTGTGGAGGAATTATACTTAACCTCGCTTTTATAGACATATCACCTGATGCTGCAGGGACTGAACTTGTGGCTTTCAAACTTTTTTGAGGCGAAAGACTTCGTATTGGACCGTCAAACCTCCCGGAGATATATATATACTTTTTTTTTTCCACATCGCCGTGAGATTTCACAATGATCTTTAACATTTTTAAACACATAACGGATGAAACAGTGCCTCCTATAATGTTTCCTGAACAACAAATTCATTTTTATAATTATTCTCCACATCCAAGGATGACTAACTGACTTGAAAAAGTAGTTTTCAAATAGTTAATGCACAAATTAAAACTTACATAAAAATGCTAAATCCATATTGGAGAAAGTAACCATACAGTTTATATACCTGAAGGTAGATGTACACAGAAATATTCATATTTTATGTTTAGTTTTATAGGCCTGATCTAGTTCTACCTTTCATATAAGCTTTTCTTTTTTTTAACTGATATGCAGAGTATGTTTGGTTAATAAGGTTCATCCATACCTGCTGATTAGTGCTAAGTAAAAAAAAAAGCTGTACCTATATTTACATGGCTGAGTTATCTACAGTTGTACAGTTGATATGAAGGAAGAAATTAATTATAGAGACCAAACGTGTTGTTCATATCAGGCTGTAAACATGCTTATATGTGCCGTGAAGTTGGGCATTTTAGCGTGGCAGGCTATAGGGATGTGGAGCCAGCCTCAAGTGGCCATTAGAGGAACTGCAGTTTTTGGCACATGAACATTGGCTTCATTTTTCAGCTTTGTTGGTTGCTACTGTGATGTAGTAGATGTTGCATATTATGTTGCAAATATGCTTATAGGTAAGCATATTTATTCCTGCTTTCCAGTTCGGTCATCTCACAGGCTGTTCAGCTCGTTAATATTGTAAGTTAAGACTCGTCCAAGAAAATATTCAGGAAATATGCAAGGGAAAGTTTTTGTTTAAAAATCAATTTATGTTTTTTTTTTAATGAAAACAAAGCTGAAAAAAAAATAAAACCAAATAACGGCAGCTCAAATCCCCGACCTCTCACTTTGGAGCCCCACTGAGCTAATTGATTCAGACACTGAGCTGATTATTGACATAGGGAAGCAGAGACCACTACTGTGTGTGGAAACAATGTCAACATCTGTCTGTTTTTGGTGCAGATGGGCTACTCCAGCAGAAGAAGACCATACCCGATGGCTCTCCTGTCAGCTAAGAGCAGGAAACTGAGGCTATATTTCACACGGGTTCACCAAACGTGGACAACAGAAGATTGGAAAAATGTTGCCTGACCTGATGAGTCTCGATTTCTGCTGCCACATTTGGATGGTAGGGACAGAATTTGGTATAAACATGAAAGGATGGATCCATCCTTTCTTAGATCGGTTCAGGCTGGTGAGCACATCCCTTCGTGACCACGGTGTACCCATTTTCTGATCGCTGCTTCCAGCACGATCATCTCAACCTGGATTCTTGAACATGACAATGAGGTCACTGTACTCAAATCGGCTCCACAGTCACCAGATATCAATCCAGTGGAGAACCTTTGGGATGTAGTGGAACAGGAAATTGGTAGTGGATGTGCAGCCCACAAAACTGGAGTGACTATGTGATGCTATCATGTTCATATGGTCCTAAACCTTAAAAGAAAGCACAGGAGGTTCAATCAGGTACTAAGAAGGGGTTATTATTAGTGTTAGGAGCAGGGTAAGTTACCACAGTGATGTAGCCACGTAAACAGAGATCCACCTTCACGATACTCCAGACTTTAAGCTGAACATACTGCAGCCTTCTGATCTATTACTGTAATTTCACATTGCAGTGCACCCCTCTGTTTTGACTGGCAAGATATCATTGGTGTTTCCTGGGCAACGGTAGCTCTTGTCACTCTTCATTTTTTCATGTTTTGAATGCATTTGATAACAATGTGTGTTTAAATTGGTACCAAATTAGGGCTCAACAAAAAAGGCTGTCTGAACAGCACGTTATCATCAGTAGTTTCACTATGATCCTCTTGAAGTTCAGTTTTTTCCTGAAAGTCTATCATGGATCATTGTTGTTTTACATTTAATTTATTAAGGCCTACCACATCTATTAAAATGTATCGTTTTTTCAGTAACTCCATTTACTTTCCCTTATCACGTCAGCAGGGAATGAACGTGATAGCATTCAATGTGAGATAAAATTAGAATACAAATACTTCACTTTAAGGGTGATCAGTGTTTCCCAGACACAGAATGTTCTCATCCAAACGAACTCACCGTAACAGAGTTTTATCAGCGCCTTGAGGTGACAGTTTGGATTTAGCACTATACAAATAAAATGGATTTGATTTGAATTAAAGCCAAAAACCATGCTTGCCTTGTACATAGACTGTTTTGTATTACTTCTCTTTATTTTTTATACAGTGGAGAGTATATCGCTGGCTGATTGTAAAATGCAGAGAAAGACATCGTTGTTAAATTTGTAAGCTTTTGATCACAACTGTAAACCTGTGATTCCATATGTTTAATCCATAAAAGCTTTTTTATCGTGGAAATGAAGCTCTGTTTGTTCAATCACACAAACTGAATCCTTTTAAATGTTTTTTCTTCCATATTTGCAGATATTTTCTCATCTTATGTTTATGTTTGCAGCGGGCACAGATAAAGGCATCAGTTCGCATCAGACCTGTGAGGTCAGAGGTCAGAGGTCAGTGAGGGTATATTGCTTCACTAGTTAACAGAAAAAAACCAACCTCTGTTTTTGTTGCCGCTCTTTACTTTTCCTGTGTTTACTTTAGATTGTGACGCATTTGAGCAGAATGGAGTTACACAATTATGAGCCGGACAGAGTCAAAGAAAGCGAAACTGATAACTGGGAAATGTGACTGGTAGGTTCAGATGTCTCATGCAAAGCCTTAAAAAATACAGCTCCAAAAGAATAAAGAAAGAAAGGAACACTCAATTATTATGGCATAACCAAAGTCAGTTAAACCTCAGGGATATCAGTCTGTTCACTTAGGAAACATAAACCACTGCAAAGCCAGTTCAGCTGCTTTGGTGAAAGTGAAAGTAACAACAGATGCAACAGGACAACAGCCAAACCCCCCAAAAAGAAAATGAATGAATGCTCTCTCCTTATCCTCCGAGACTGATACGTCTCTAG